ACCATTAGTAAAGCAGTAGTTACATTATCACCACAAATAGAGAGAGCTTTCAGTGTTCAGGAAATCGTAAATAAATGAGGCTAATAGTTAGATAAGCTTGCTATTGCTTTAGTTAGTCATTTTGTTTATTGCAGATTTTCCAGTTTCACACTCTCACAGCAGGATATCTGCAGCGGTGGCATTATTGAGCACACAAATGCTTCCCGTACCTATATATAGAATGGGGCCTTCTTTAATCTTTAAAGCAACTACTAAAACATAGCAACAAGTAGCCTAGTTACAGAGAAAACACATTTTAAGGCACAATAAGTTGCTGCATATTGATGACTGGTCATTACATGCGAACCTTCAAAGTTTAGAAAATGATTAAATAAACCAATAACAAGATATTGTCAACTGTTAGGAGACTATTAATTATGTATGCAGGTGTTATTGCATTACAGGACTTTTTAGGTGAACGTTTTATCCTCAAATGCACCGCAGCATCTTATCTCCTGATCTAAAGAGTCAGTTCATTCAAATTACTATTAGAAATGATTTCAAATATGTATTATAATATAGCCTCTTATCTCTCCATCCACATAATTAGCCCCCCGTCACCTTCTCAGAATGTCACCCCGCTGTACACATGTGCACATTACAGAGCACACTGAAGTAATAGACACCTTATTTTTATATATTTTATTATGTTTGAATATGCATATTGGAGGTAATCCAGATTTAATGGCAAGCAACCACATTATGTTACTTTAACACTGTGATACTTGGGCTACTGACTACATTTTTTAACAGGTGAGTGCATTAAAAGTAACCCTCCCAACGCTGTGTGCAGTATGGAAACACGAAACAGCACCAAAAAAGAAAGATCACCAACAAAAAAGGTCAGCTCTGTATGTTGGAAACACTCAACCACGGGTGTTACTTTAATAACCAGACCAACTGTCTGTGCTTTAATATTAGGATTGGGTCATGTTTTATCCTAATTATTACATAAAACATGGTGTTTAAATGTGTTGTTAAAGGTGGAGTGAAAAAGCTGGCCATAATGTGCACGTTTTCAGGCATTTCTTGTGTTGCACTCGACTACTCGTGTGAAATGTGACAGAAACAGTGCGTCTAAAGCTCCTTTCAGACCTGCACTCCTTCCTGCTAATCTGACAGCATCTGAACACGCTGGCTTCATTTCTCAATGAGCNTGCAGCAAGTGTTGGATGGGTGGGTGGAGAGAGAGGCAGGGACTTTATAGATATGAAGAGTTCATTTTCAAAAACAGATAAACTCCATTTTTGTAGATTTACAGAAAACGCATTTTTTTTGTTGTTTGCTTGTGATAATACCAAACTGAAGTTGACTCAGTAGAAATGACAAAAATAGAGATAACTTAGTTTGATTGATGTTGTCTCAGGTAGATGATGGAAAAGGGGGTTTTCTGAAGGTTTGTGAAGCTGGAGCTATCTGTTTTTGCAAATGAACTCTTCATATAGGGCTGCAGTGTGGCGCAGTTAGTAGCACTGTTGTCTCGCAGCAAGAAGGTCGCCGGTTTGCGTCCCGGTGGGGGCACCGGAATCTTTCTGCGTGGAGTTTGCATGTTCTCCCCGTGCAGCGTGGGTTCTCTCCAGGTTCTCTTGGCTTCCTCCCACACAGTCCAAAAACATGTTGAGGTTAATTGGTGATTCTAAATTGTCCGTAGGTGTGAATGTGAGTGTGCTTGGTTTTCTGTCTCTAAGTGTAGCCCTGTGATAGACTGGTGACCTGTCCAGGTGAACCTGCCTTCACCCTAAGTCGGCTGGGATAGACTCCAGCCCCCCTAGTGAGGATTAAGCGGAGTATAGATAATGGATGGATGGATGGAACTCTTCATATTTGAGAGGCAGCAACAATGCAAAGCTACACCTGAGCCATTTTAAATCAAGACGATCTTACTTTGTGTTAAAAACACATCTAAATATGCAACTTTGACACACAGAGATGCATTTTTAAAGGTTTAATCAATGACCAGAAAATGTCTTCAACACCATTTGGAAGCTGAAAACAGATTTCTTAACGCTTGCTTCCACTTTTTGAGTGCAATCATAGCCACCATCTGCATCATCATCACATCAGCCTGTGTGGCTGTTTGAATCAAATAGTATGACATCTATTCTTTTATGCTACCAAAGACAACAATCACAGTTACCAGTACAAATACTGTCAGTCTGTGCCTAAAAGTTAAACTCTGATGTAGGAGGTATTGACACAAAAGAAAAATTATGTCATTTAAGCTTTTTGAAGTACTCCAATCACAACAAACACCACGTACACCAATTTCTTTAAAACTATCTACGCAGCAGAGACAATTCAGGCCACATCTTTTAGTATTAAATCTATCTCACTATCGAGACGAAGCACTACTGTAGAGTTACATCTAAACCATTTTCAGGCAAAATGGTTTTATTTTCATTAAAAAAAACAACAACAAACCCTTCAAAATATGCAACTTTCACACACATTGCACAAAGCATTTTTAGGGGTTTAATGAACGACCAGAGAGGGACTTTAACCAAATTATGTTTAACTACACCCCATTAGGGTGGAGGCAGAAATTAGATTGCTGAAACTGGCTTCCTCTGTCTGAGTGCAGGTCCATAGCCGCCGTCTGCATCATCACAACAATCACAATTACCAGAACCAGCGTTGTCAGTGTGTACCCAAAAATTATGCTCACTGCAGAAAAAATCTGATGGAGGGGGGCTTTGTCACGAAAAGAAAGAAATGTAAGCTTTTTGCAAGAACTCAAATCAAAACAAACACCAATTATACCAATTTCATGAAAGCGCTGTAGAGTTACATCTAAACGATTCAAAGGCAAGGTGGTTTCATCTTCATGGGGGAAAAAAACTTCTAAATAAGCAACTTTGATACAGAGAGGTGTGTTTTTTAGTGGTTAAATCAACGATCGGAGAGAGATTTTAACCAAGTTCTGGAGAATGTAGATCCAGGGCTTGTTCACGCCATGTCTTTTGGTGCTTTGAAGTGAACTGACCCTTTAATTAGGAGGTGTACGTGTGAATGTGTGCATACCTGGCAATGTATTGTCCTGAAGACGGCAGCTCATGTCGGTTGGGCTTGTCATAACAATTCACCATGTTCTGAATCAGCGCCAGGTCCGGCCTCACCATGGTCGCCGCAGACACCGCTCGGCCAATCAGCTGCAAAGCATCCCGTATGTAGAAGCTGATTGGCTTGCGGCCGACCTCCCCGTAGGCCAGCAGCCCGAGGGGGCCTCCGAGAGTGTGCAGCGAATCTGGAGACAAGGGGTATCCCATGATCCACTGCAGCGCCGGCAGCGACGGGGCGAGGCGCTGAGCAGCCCGCAGGACGGAGGAGAGACACTCGGGGTCGGATCCCAGGAGGAGGACGGAGGAGATAGGAGAGGGGGAGCGCAGGAAACGAGTGGAGATGACCTTCAAAGCCTCCTCCTCCATCTGATCCTCCCTTCTCTCCTCGCTGGCCTCCCCTCTCCTATCTCTGCCCCCCGTTATGCGAGTCAGGTTGATGATGTCCCACAAATGCCAGGTAGAACCGCTGTGCCTCTGCAGGTGAGCCAGCAACCCGTCGCCGCCTTCGTCCCAACCGGGGCAGACCACAGCGGCTCCTCCCCAGCTGCCTTCACCCCGGCTCCCCCGGTCCCTGTCCCCCTCTCCCCCCTGCAGGACTGCCAGCAGCAAGCTGCCCAGGGTCGACGGAGGCACACGGGCCGACATCTGCAGGTGGAACTGGTTCTGTGAGAGAGGGCGAGAGGGGGGAAAGACGGAAGATAGATCAAAGAAAAAGGAAGAAAATTGGAGAAGACAAAAATAAATGACAGAGAAGAGAAGAAAGGGAGGAGAGAAAAGAAAATAAAAAAAACAAGATCAAAACAAAGATTAATAGATATAACCAAACCGAAACACCTCAGGGCTGAATGACGTAAAATCACATTAAACGCAGCTTTTTATGAGCACCAAAACAATTCCTGTCGCTGTAGTAATTTGCCACAACACAGATCAGAAACAATCAGTCACATTTGTTCATTATCTCTCACTCTGAATGAGAAGAGCCGCGCTGATACAAACAAGGAGTCAATGATTCGCATCTAATCTGCAACATCACAGTTGGCTTGGCAAGACAACAGTAGCATCCACAGTTCATCCAGAAGCCCACATTTCCAAACCCCACTGAAAACACTGGCTTGTTTCATACTGTTCCAAAATGGATAACACTGTTGTCCTTGAATGCAGCTCACAGATGGACCTTCCCCCTCCTTCCTTTGGGGTTTCTATCCATTTTTCATCCTATCAGCGCTGCAGGCAAGGTTGAGGGGGGAGACTGCTTTCATATAGAGAGCCCAAAGTTTAGCCCAACACCACTTAAGATTGGCTTTGAATGGCCCCCACCTCATTGGAAAGCAAAGATAGGCGTGCATTACAAATTACGCTCACAAATACCCTCTGGCACCAAGTGTATTTTCAGGATCTTTAAAACATATGCAGAACATGTGCACGCATACAGACCGAAAACAAGCACATATGGCAATAAATCACATCTGCACATGGAGGTGGACCATTAATCCATGCAGGTACATGCTGAACGCCCAGATATGCTCGTGGAAAACATCCTCACACACATACCTGAGTGTGCGGAGATGAGAAATCTAAACCAGACTGCAACCCACACTCACACAGACACATTCATTCAAGTGGAAATATCCCACCCGGGAGTACAAAGTAAACAGAGCGACCCTCTGCTGAAAGTCCTTGAGTCCCTTAAGAGAAAAAAAAAATCTCAAGTCTGGAGAGACATGGATGAATTAATGCAGCGTATGTATTTATCCTGCTGGAAGGGGCCAGGTGCGGAGCGAGGGGACGAGTGAAGATAGGTCTCTTCGTTTGAACTCAGTGGGAAGCCAGGAAGTTGGGGGAAGGGGAGGGCGGAGTGATGGCGGCGGGGTTTGCACAGAGGAATAAAGATAGGAAAGGTGGCGCCTATTACAGGTGCGGGCATTATTCGGCTTATTACTGTCGGAAATGAAACTTAGAGCGTGCGTATTTCCTCAAAGGGTTTGGAAATCAGAAAACGTGAGGATGGAAGATCAACACGGAGCCTCAAGGCAGCTGGAGGAACAAGTGCGTGAATCTATATCTGCTCTGATTCCTGTGATCCATCTAAGCCGCCTTTTCTCTTAAATATTAATGTACGACTAAATATATGACCATGTTTTGAATAAAAGTAAGTAATGGCCAAAGCTACCAAAACGGAGATTCTGCGACAGCCACAAACAAAAGATTAAGCGTGCGTCGTGCAGACAAAAAAGCTGTAAATTACGCTCTCAGTCAATACAGCTTGTTAGCAAACCGGAGAACGACTCTCGCTGAATATATCATTGTCAATTTAATTGTAATAATCTTCATCTACGGGACATCCCACAGCTGCGTCGGCTGTTTTCCACCGACATTTTGTTTATTTATTATTTCCCTTCCGCTCTCGTGGTTAGCTTTGCTTGACTTTTAGAGACATTCGTTTTACAATTTCAATTACATTTGAGGCATTTAGCCGGCGCCCTTATCCAGATCGACTCGCGGCGAGCACAACAGTAGAATTACCACAAGAGTGAGAACGTGAGAGCAATAACAAAGCGCGAAACCAGAGCATTATGGAAGTTGTCGTTGCTGCTACTGGGAGAGAAAACAAATTAGAGTAAATGGAGGAGGCAGATGCCGGAGCCGTGATGTGATTGTGTGGAGATAACAGGGATATGAGCCTTTGTTTTTTTGTTTTTTTTGGGGACTTCCAGCCCATAAGATGAAGAAGCACAATGCTGTTTGGACGGGAGGAGGAGGAAAGACTTGTTGAAAAATTCTGTGAGCAATCAAACGTGACAAACACCCAAAGTGGACTCAGTGAAAGTTTATCTAAAAAAAAAAAAAAAGTCCACTATTGGAGTTATTGCCTATTAGAACTGCAGTCACTTCTTGCCTGTATTTGAATGTTTCAGCACGATTAATTCCAGGCAGATATTAAAGCGGTAAAACACTGAGGAACATTTTCTGCTGTGCTTAGAGGCACAAATGTGAGGTTTGGGGAAATACATGGGATCTTTTTTTTTGTATCCCGCTAAAGTTACTGAAAATATGTGGATCACAGGATTACAATTTTAGAACACAATTGCCAAACTAACTTGCTTTGACATCCTTTTGGCACGAGCCACCTCGTCTCAGGCTTTGTGTAACACCCTCATGTTGCCCACACAAATCTCATGCCAAATAAGAGAACACCTCAAAGCTCTTATGTTAAAAAAAAAACTAGATTACACAGGCTTTCTTTGCACAAAACACAAAGTCTGAACAACAGGCCTTTTTTTTCTCCATATTTCAGTAATGGTCCATAAACATCACAGAGTGTCCAAAAAGACACATGCCTTCTAGTTGATGGATTTGCACGCACAAAACTCCTTTCATTGTGCGTTTTGCTTCATTTACTCTGCTGTACAGTCTCACACCATAGATTGAAAAGTCTGCAGAAATGCAACTTTACTGCGATAAAGGCAGAATCGGTAAAAGGACGGATTAAAGAGACTCCCCGCAATCATGCATTACTACTTCTGTTGACAAATCCTTACCAGGATGTGGTTGGTTTGTTGCTTACAGCTGTTTGCAGGCCTTTTTCCTCTGAGTTCATTCCATCCCTGCAGCATCTAAACAGTGCGAGCGTGGAGCTGCACGTATTTACACATGTGGCACAATGCCTCATTAATTACTCGCAAATTAGCCGTGACATGGAGACGGGACCGATCAAGATCTAACAGTAAATGACACGGTGTACTTTCCTTCATTTCAGACGTGTGAGCTGTCACAGTTTATGAGCCTCAGTCTAATCATCTGTAACGCGCCGACCGTCGTCAGGTTGAATCCTGAGCCCCGCCGCGGCTGAGGGGATATTTTTATTTCACTGTTAAAAAGTCTGTTTACTTAAGTCAAAAATATTTTCTGTCAAGTTTTTTTTTTTCAATTTTTCCTATTATGGAGATTTTTTTCAGTTTCACACTCTCACAGCAGGATGTCTGCAGCGGTGGCATTACTGTGCATACAAATGCTTCCGGTAACTATATATAGAATTGTGCTGCTTTAATCATTAACTACCAAAAACACAGCAACAAGTAGCCTAGTTACAGTAAAAACAAGTTTTAAGGTACAATAAGTTGCTGTGCTTTGATTGCTTGTTATTACTTGTGAATTTCTAAAGTTTAGAGACTATTAAATAAACCAATAATAAGATATTGTCAGCGACAGGAGATTATTAATTATGTATGTAGGGGATATTGCATTATTGGATTTTTTTTTT